GTCTAGCAGTTAAAACACTGGTTGGGATGCCTGCAATCCACACTGGAGTGCTGGAGTTCAAGCTGGGCTCCGGCTCCTGACTCTGGTGTCCTTGCAGTGTAGACTCTGGAAGGCACTGCTGATAGCTCAAGGAATGGGTTCCTGCCACCCACGTAGGACACCAGGATTGAGCTCCCAGCCCCCTGCTTCAGCCGGGGTGTGAGCCAGCCCACGGGAACACTGCCTTTCAAACAATTTTTTTAGAAGATAAATAACACATTTTGGGCTTTGGGACCTCTAGGTACTAATTCAGAAAACAAATTTCCAATTCACATTACTTTCTGAAACTTTAAACTTCAAAACCAACTTGAAGAAGGGGGAAAAGCAATGTTTTGAAATCAAATGAACACATCGACAAAACCAGGGTGGAGTGGGTGATGTCTTTACAAGGTGGGCAACCTCTATTTTGGTAAGAAAATGAAAAAACTTGTATCTCCAAATCTGGGAGGATAAAGCAGTCTGCAACATCAGCCACATGCCCCAAGATTGAGAAGGAGCTCTGTGCAGAAGTGGCCCCCATCTCCATACACCAGGTGAAGCCAGTGAGGAGCACAGGTGGTCCCCAGGGGGCAGGATCCACTTACAGCGAATGTTATTTACAAGATGTTGACTGTTGGGCATTGCGGGCATGGCATTCAACGGGAACTTAAACTGGACAAGAACTGGTGATTTTTCACCCATCTATTTATGCTCAACCTAAGCTCTGTGGCCAAAAGACAGCTTGCAGAAAGTCACGTATAAACGCAAGTGCTTGAGACAGGAGCCCTTCAGGCCCTGTCCCTGTGCTTAGCGGGCTGCCCAGAGGAGAGTGCAGGTGCACTACAAAACCCACAGGCCCAGGAAGAGGAGCCTTGGTGCTAGACGTCACTGCTTTCCAGGGAAAAAATAACGCATGGGCGGAGTGCACCAGCTTTGACAAAGAAAACACCTGTTCACAGCTGTATAAATTTTCCTTAACAGTCAACACTAAAAAGACCCTGACAGTCACTCCCTCTGCGAGTGACAGTTCAGATGATCCCTGCAGAGCAAAATTCTTCTGGTCAGCACACTGTAACTGAAGAACCTAGTCACTAGTGCAAGTAACAGGGTATGTTCTACGTGCAATACACAATAGATCCACATTTACTGTATGTTTACCATATGTGACATTCCCCAAAACAGAAATAGCCACACGGAGGAGAAAATAGAACTCTTCCTCTGTTACCTGTAGTTGGTCAGCATTAGTCCTATCTTCCAACATAAATTTTAAGAATATAATAGAATTGCAGCACTCAAATATCAAACAAGTATCCAACATTTACCACTTTTTGAGACGTGGCCTCTGGGGTTCCCAGACAAGCACATCACTGCTGCTTCAGAGTGGTTCTATATTTTGTCATGTATCACCTCACTAGGGCCAACACACAGACAGAATGTTGGGCTTTGAGTTTAAAATTGTACATACAAAGCACCTTGCTTCTGTCCCTTTTCAGCAAGGGAAGAACTTGATATTCTCAGAGATTTATTAGTGACATGTCCAGTGGCAGAAACAGGAAGAGAGCTACCCCTCCGGAGGATGTTTTCCAATCCTTATCATAAAGCAGTTTAATAAACAAAGCTAAATCCTGGCCTGCTCCCAGGAGGGTCTCTGCAGGTCAAAACATGAAGAGGCATGAGCGAGCCTATGAATTTCGGCATCTTCTGCCATCAAAAGGTGAGCCTGAAGCTGCTGCCCCTCCCCCAGTGAGGTGAGGGACAAGCCCAACCTCAGAGGGCTCACTGGGAGCTGGCCTTGCAGCCACATGCAAGCATGTGCACCCAGCCTTATCGGCCCCCGAGAGGAGACAGCGCCTGACACACCCCAGCAGCTGGCACTCATACAAAGGTATGGCTATCTTTCCTTCTGCAGACAGACCCGCAGGTCAGCGGACTTTGACACGTGTCTGAAACGGATGACGTGGGTGAAATGCCCAGCTGACTGGAGGAGCAGCGCACTGCAGTCCTCCCCAGGACAGAACTGCTCCACCCACAACACAGGAAGGCTGCAGAACAGGGCCACAGACCTGTTAGCAAGCCGGGCTCAGTCTGGGAAACAGCTGGTGGTGGGGGGAGGGGAGGGCAGAAGGGAGGGCAAACCCAGATAATCATTACAGCAGTTTGGTTAACTTGGGAGATGTGTGAGATTCTGACCTCAGGCCTGTTTTGCATATTTAAGAGTTTTTAGTCGACTGATAGTTATCTGTTAAATTTCACAGTACAAAAATACACTTGGGGCCATGCGAGCTTCTGGCTGATTAGAGGAACAATTCATTCTAAGACAAAAGGGAGATTCCCAAATCCCGAAAACCAGGCTCTGTCCTTGGCCCCACTGTCCTTGGGACATTCTTCCTCTGGTGTCCTACTGAGCCAGGGAACCTGCAGGAAAAGTAATTTTCATTTTTAACTGAAGAAATAACTTCTCAAAACTACCTTGGTGCGTGCCCCCAAGCTTCTGAGGAAAAGGTGACTAAATGACCCTAAGTTCCACCAGGTCATCCTGACAAAATGCATCACTCCCAAAGTAGTAATTTATTATTATCAAAACCATGGGTTGTCACATAAGTATCTTAATTTCCCTTAAAAGGTATTTTGTATAATCTTATATAATTACACATACACAAGAATGGTCTGCTGGTTAATGGAAAGGAAAAGCTACACTCGCTGGAACAATCAGACGAAAACTGACAGTGCATTTTCTGATTTTGTTCCTTCCGATGAACTTGGGCGTCTCCTTAGAACTACACTTGATTTTCCTAGAAATTGGGAAGTGTTCAGAACGGGAGCCGGCAGAGCAGTAGTAGGCGAGCTTGCCCTTGAAACACTCCTCAAGAAGTAGGATGAACGCTGAGGTCTTCTGCCAGCAGCACTGCCCCCCACCCCCCACACACACCCCAGGCTGGAAGGGCTCGGCTCTGCCCTCTCTCCCTCCTTCATCCCCTCCCTTCCCTCTCTGTTTTGTTTCTGTCTCAGCAAGCTGCTTCCCCCCTGCTTTGAAGGATATAAAAGAGAAGTGGAAGGCTGGAGTCACAAAAACCCTCTCCTGTTGGACCCTCTGCTCCTGGTGAAGGAATTACAAGGGTCTCCCACGGGGAGCTCACTGAGCACCCCCCCACCCCAGCTGTAGAAAGGGAACGCCAGGAGCCCTGTGAGGCTGCGCCTTCTCAGCCTTCCCAGGCAGACCAGGCCCCCGTGGAACGCAGGCGCACGTTCATTTTAGACCCTTAGGTATTTAGCTTTTAGAAGGCATGGTGTCTCCAGAACATGATTGTGACTTGTTAAGGACCCAGTGGTGTTTCAACCACTGCGCTAAAGGCCCACCCCATCCTCGTACTCACAGCTCAGAGGCTAAGTGACACACCCACAGTGGCAGCCAGCACGAGATGAAGTGGGACTGAAACCCCAATTCTTTTTTTTTTTTTTTTTTTTAAGATTCATTTTAGGGCTGGCCCTGCGGCTCACTAGGCTAATCCTCCGCCTTGCGGCGCTGGCACACCGGGTTCTAGTCCCGGTCGGGGCGCCGAATTCTGTCCCGGTTGCCCCTCTTCCAGGCCAGCTCTCTGCTGTGGCCCGGGAGTGCAGTGGAGGATGGCCCAAGCGCTTGGGCCCTGCAACCCATGGGAGACCAGGATAAGTACCTGGCTCCTGCCATCAGATCAGCGCAGTGCGCCGGCTGCAGCACGCTGGCCGCGGCGGCCATTGGAGGGTGAAGCAACGGCAAAGGAAGACCTTTCTCTCTGTCTCTCTCTCTCACTGTCCACTCTGCCTGTCAAAAAAAAAAAAAAAAAAAAAAAAGATTCATTTTATTTATTTGAAGGCACAGTGATAGAGAGAGGAAGAAAGAGAAAGAGATCTTCCATCTGCTGGTTCATTCCCCAAATAGCCGCACTGGCCGGGTGTGGGGCCAGGCTGTGGCCAGGAGCTTCATATCTTGGTCTCCCATGTGGGTAGCAGGGGCTCAAACATTTGGGCCATCATCAGCTGCTTTCCCAGGTGCATTAGCAGGGAGGCAGATTGGAAGTGGAGCAGCCAGGACTTAAACCAATGCTCTGGTATGGGGTGCCAGTGTTGCAGGCGGAGGCTCTACTCACTGTGCCACAATGCCAGGCCCCCAAAACCCCAACTCTTGATTCCAGTTTATCTCTTACCACATCACAGTGCCTGCTCCTTCTGGTTCCAACAGCATTAAAAGCCACAATAAACAAAAAACCTGTCACTTCTCACAGCTGACATGTCAATCTGTTTGAAATCAGAAACTATTTACAGGATGGGGAACAAGGAGTAGCCCGTGAGTAAATGTCCCTCACAGAAACTTGTGATTTCAGCTTAATTCTTCTGTTTTCATAAATGCTTACAGCCTGAGCACTAAGGATTCTGAGCACTATGATGAGAATGATCCGACATCTCTTTCTTCTGATTGAAACCTTTGTATATGAAAGAATCCAGAAATCCACATCCTACAGAAAGAAGCACCCGGACATCATGACTGTACCAGAAAAAAGAGAGGAAGAATCCATAACAGCAAAGACTGAGAACAGCAGTGCTACACCTGAGCATCTTTCTGAGAAGATCCTTTGGCTGCATGTCTTTAACCCTAAAGGATGGCCTAAGCCTCCCACCAGCTTCCTCTCCCTTGTCTTCTGTTTTCATGCATCCACCCATCAAGTAGAGGGACTGTGTCCTAGGCCAGCGGGACGGACGGATACAAGGAGTGAGGTGTCTCCATGGTATGCGCTTTCACTAGCAGGCAAGTTTCTGAGCTCCGCAAACCATGGGGAGGGGTCCCTATGAGTTGCTGTGGGGACCGCCCTGTGTGGTTTAACAGATGACTCTTTGAGAGGGCCTCCAGATGGAGTAAAGTTCAAGGCAAACAGAAGACAGGCTTCCCCCCAGGCACCCCCACCCCCACCCCGCCCATCACCTCCACCAAAGCACTGGGCACTGACCTGCTTTGCCCACTTCCCCTTGCCTCAGCGGTCCTTCAGCCCGGCACCCAGCTCTGAGATGAGGCCTGCTTAGCACCAGTGAAGCTCCCCACGTTCAAACCAACAACGTTCTGTGTGGAGATGAGGGAGTCAAAGTTAAAATCCAACCCGTCCGCGTCCATGAGTTCACTACGGATAATGGACTCCATGTCACATTCCAAGCTCCCATTGAACATGTCCAGGTCCAAGTCGCTGGGGAACTTCTCGTGGCCCATGACGGGAAGGTTTGCACTAGCTGAGTACAAGGAGGAGCCTGAGAGCGAGTCCGAGAGGGTTTGCATAGACTGGCTGACGGGAGACGGCTGCTGGTGTTTGGCTGACCCGAGGCTGCTGGAGTCACTCAAGCCCATGCTGCTGACGGAATTCGACAAGGCACGGCTGCCACCGAGAGCGCCCTGGGTCTGGTGCTGGTGGTGGAGCAAGTTCTGATTGACCAAACTCCCCTGGTTAGGCTGGGCAGCAAAGGACATCATCGGGTCATTGCGCAGCATCACGTGCCGGCGGGAGTTCTGGGCAGACACAGCGGTGCTGGCCTGAGACATCAAGGGGTCCGACTGGGTCATCATGACGTCGCTGTGGCTGAGCGAGTCTGAAGTGAGCAGGTCTTGGAGTGTCTGGCTGCCGTAGTGCGACATGGAAGAGAAAGTGGCTGGCTTGTTCTCCTGGATGGTCTGCATGGGGGACTGGCGCAGGGAGTTCAGAGACGACGGCCCGAACACCGTGCTGTTAAAGGAGCCGGTCGGAGAGCCCAGGCCGGAGCCCTTGGCGGCGTAGGGGAAGCTGGAGCTCCGCTGCATGAGCGTCCCGGGGGGTGACGGCTGGGAGGACGGCAGGGGGATGTTGTCCAGCAGGTCGTCCATGAGGTTGTCAGCCAGCCCGTCGTTCAGGTTCATGGTGCCCGCCATGTCGGTGAGCCGCGGCAGCTCCACGGCGCACGGCTTGCTCGCAGAAGGCGACAGGCTGGCGGAGCTGCTGTACAGCATCGGGGAGAGCGGAGCATCGTCGTCCTGGACCTCATTAAGCTCTGTGCTCGCCAGGATGGGCGACAGGCGGCCGCTAACCGTGCTGGCGTTGGAGTTGGTGCGCGAGCGGAAGTCCGTCCAGGCGTCCAGCTCGTCGCTGCTGCGCGACGTGGGGCTGCCGGGCCACTTGGCCAGTTGGGAGGGGCTGTCGTCGGCCGCCTCGGGTGCCGTCTGCAGGGCCGCCTTCTTCTTGGCGGCGCGGCCACGGCTCTTGGTGTACTTGTTGCTGTTGTCCATGGAAACGGCCCGCCGCCGGGGCGCCTTCCCGCTCTTGCCCCCATCGGGGTTGATGATCCACCATGAGCTCTTGCCCGTCCCCTCGTTCTGCACCCGCATGAACCGACTGTGCAGCGACAGGTTGTGTCGGATGGAGTTCTGCAGAGGAGAAGGAAAACGCAGAATGTGAGCCAGGTCGGTCCAGAACTGAGGGCTCAGAACCCCCAGCCCAGCAGACTCCTTATTTGCAAAAGCCGCTTCTCACACCAGGGGCTTAAAAAGCTTAACTGAGAAGACCAACAGCCGCACCACTCTCCAAAACAACATCAAACGGAAGGCTTCCCATCCTGGAGAAGGACAGACGGTTGCGGAGCAAAGCTGCTGCTCCCCCCAGTTCCTAGCTTTCACTCTATTTCCTATTCTGGGGTTCCCACTTGTAATTTATGAGCACACCACTTCCTCCCTGCACTTTGCAACCACCCTCTGGCTCCTTAAGGTAACCCATCCCCTGGGTGGCTCTTAGCTTCTCTTCTGCTCCCCTCCTCCAGGCACCCAGGGGCAGCAGCCACCTCTTCCTAACCACTTCCATGAGTTGAGAACTGGTACGAAATTTTTACCCACCCTCTCTACCACTCCATCTCAGCATGCCACAACTTCACGCCTTGTTACGTGACACCCAGCAGAACTTGTTGGGCCAACAAAAGGTAGGCAAGTCTCCCGCTGCACTCCCGCTGCAAAGCACCATGGGCTGAGCTCAGCAGCTCCTCCCAGAGTACCATATGAACGGGGGTGGGGGAAGGGGACTGACAGCGGAGAGGCCTGCGCACACAGCCTCAGCACCCTGTTGACAGCACACGTGCGCCTTTGATGGGACGTGGTGAAAATGGTATTGACCTCTGTGGTCTTGCTTCCAAAACCCACAGGCCCCGTCTACTCATGAGCAAGACCTCAACTGAGGAGCATTCACAAAATGTATGTTCAGTGCTCCTCAAAACGGTCACGGCCAAGAGCTGCCTAAGGAGACAGGAGGGGCGGCTCCAGATGCAGTGGTGTGGACTGTGGGACACTTGAGGCTCTGGGACAGGAAAGGGACCTGTAGTAACAGTTGAGACAAGTGTGCCATCCTGTAAGAGGTTAACAACAGGGGACCGTGCGATGTTGGGTATGTGGGAACTCCACAGCAGCTTGGCCACTCTACTTTTGCAGACGTAAAACTATTCTAAAATGAAAGGTTTATGATTTTAAAAACACAGGAGGGTAAAACACCCTCACAACTCTAATGGCTGCACCCATCTTGCAAGCATCCTCCTCCCGACATGGTGGACTCACCCAGTGGAGACGGATGACCCAGATTCAGTCCCGTCTCTGCCGCTGACCAACCATGTGACCCTGAACAAATCGCTTATCTGTCTGCCGCAGCTGCGGTGCCCGTCTTCATTATGGTCACAATCATCTCCCAACCACCCCTCCCTGACAGGGATGACGTAAGGGCGATGGATGATAATACACTTCTGAAGCCAGTCACGCTAGGAAGCCACAATGTTCCTACCGCCCTTATAAAGCACAGAGTCCATGGGGGAGAGTGCCCACGGCCTGGGGCAGGCCACTCTAATCCCTAAAGTGCCTCATATGCGGTGAAAAAGAGCAGCTGATGGTATTCACCACATCTGGAACAGCACCTGCAGGCCAGATGAGGCTTTATTTATTGCCTGATGCTGTATATTAAACATGGACAATCCTAAAAGCTACCATATTTTTAAAAAAATTGGCAATCACCAACTGTATTTATGTAGAAGATACAAATACATGTGTTCTACCAGAATGTTTTTAAAACACAGAAAGTCAGCAGGATTTTACCGTAAGTAAATAACCCAAAATACTCAAAAGTGTTTCCCGTGTAAGACAGGACTGCAGTGCAGGCTAGGCAATGAGCATTAGTAATCACGGGTCATAAGCTGGCATTCCTACAACTGCCAGGGAGACCCATTTGAGAGAAGAAAATAGACAACGTGCTGAGTATGATGAAACAAATGTTGCCCGGGAGACTACATATTCCACACCCCTTCACTCTAATGGTTTTTAAAAAGAATAATGGCATCTCCACCAAAGGTCCAGAAATTACATTTGTTTAAAAAGTAGGGGTGGGTGTTTGGCTTGGTGGTTGACTCTGGTTAGGATGCCTGAATCCTACAGCAGAGTGCCTAGGATCAAGTCTGGGCTCTGTTCCCATTACAGTTTCCTGCTAATGTGCGCCTTGGGAGGCAGCAGGTGATGACTCAAATACTTTGGCTCCTGCCACCCATGTGGGAGACCTGGATTGAGTTCCTGGCTCCTGGCTTCAGCCTGGCCCAGCACCAGCCATCAGGGGTATTTGGAGGATGAAACCAGAAGGTGGGAGCTTTATCTGTCTCTCTGCCTCTCAAAAAAATAAATAGAAAAACACTTTCTCTATGAAATAGGTATGAAGCACGCAGTTATCATCATGTACTCTACAGGGTCCAGAAAGCAGGCAAGTGCATACTCAGATGACTTGATATGTTAAACAAAAACTTAAGCTTCTGGGTGAAAAAATTCTATGTGGGGCAATATGAATATGGACCCCTCCCTAATTAACAAGGAAGAATTAACAAGGAAGACCAGTTGTAAATATTCAGCTATATTCAGCCACATCCTCCTTAAAAATGTTTAGGGAATGATATTTTTATAAGAATATTAATTCCAAAGCGAGAGAGAGAGAGAGAGAGAGAGAGAGAGAGAGAGAGGCAGGCATTGTATACAACTCTAAAATGCCCCATATGGATTTTCTGATAGGCATCTACTACTTTGACTCTAACCTCCAACAACACACGTGTATAATTTTATACAATTGCAAGGTACAACTAGTTAAAATCTACAGACAGATTTTCAGACACATTAAGAGTTGAAGGGCATATGGTAAAAAGGGCTGGGACAACCACATCCAGCACCAGAAGCACAGAGTGTCAGGTCTGAGAAGGACCACGCATCCGGATCCCTAATTGCCAGGGTGAAGCAGCAAGGGCCTGGCAGATGACAGCATCAGCAGGTTTTCAGACTCATTGTCTCCAATCCACATAATAAACCTGCAGTTAATAGGTCAGTACTGCATTTTACATATGAAGGCCCAGACTGAGATATTAAATAACTTAACACAAGGTCCCACAGCTGGCACCTACATGAACCAAAACTGAAATTGTTTCCCAACACTAACCCAGGGCTTTTGCCACAATCTTTCATAGGCCCACCACCAAATTATTTAAGTTAATTTCATTTATTTGTGCCAACAATTAAAATAAAGAGAAACATCTAAAGAAACAACCATTTCAGAAAGAAGAGGGATATAAAAGCACATAATCCTACTACTGGAATTTTGTTTTTCATATGAAATAGTAGTAATAATTTCATTTGTCCTTCCTTAAATTTTTTTTCCCTAGGAATTTTCTAAAAAGAAAGCCTGGGGCCGGCATTGTGGTGTAGCAAGTAAAGCCATCTGCGATGCCAGCATCCCATATGGGCACTGGTTCTTGTCCTAGCTGCTCCACTTCTGATCCAGCTCCCTGCTAATGTACCTGGGAAAAGCAGCAGAAGATGGCCCGAGTGCTTGGGTCCCTGCATCCATGAGGGAGACCCAGATGGAGTTCCTGGCTGATGGCTTTGGCACAGCCCAGCCTTAGCCATTGTGGTCATCTGGGGATTGAACCAGTGAGTGGAAGATGTAGCTTTCAAAATAACTAAATAAATTCTTAAAAAAAACCAAACAAACAAAAACAAAAACAAAACCAGCCTCTCTCTGAGAAGAGTACACCCAAAAGCACAAGCTGGCTCTGCAGCACATGTGTGGCTTCCTTTAAGGAAGGCAGCCACCACCACACTCATTCCAGGAGGGGAGCCATGTCCCACGTTAGCTGCTCTCAGAATCGGACACAAAGCCCGACTTCGTAAATGCGTGATTAGCTTCAGCGTCCCATCTTGGCTGGTCTCTCATCTCAGAGGTTTATTAGTGGCAGAATGCGTTCCTCGAGGCTTATTACCTACAAAACACTCGGGCAGGTTTTTCCAGTTACATAACCAAGACAGTGGGGACAGAAACTGTGCCACCACTGTGCTGCTTTTGCAGCGCGGGCTGCCCGGCCTTCTAGTTAGGAAGTCCACGGCTGAAAGTGGGGCACTGGCAACGGCCAACACAGGCGGCTTCTCTGCCCATTCCCAGGGCAGACACCAAGGTCAGATGCCGGAGAAATGCTGCATTGCTTTTTCCTGAGGTCAGGATTCTGGTGGTTAGCTTCCTTCCCTAATCTTGGTGAGGCAGGAAAAGTAAACAAATAAACATTGCAGAGCTGTAATGTTCCTTCCCCACACCTGCCCTGGTAACAAAGAATGGGGATATGATTTCTACAAAACTTCTGCCACCTCAGTCACAGGTACGTGCACGTATTCTATGGTCTCCACTGATTCGTGCATTATCTTACTGATTCTATGGTCTCTACTGATTCGTGCATTATCTTACTGATACGGTCTTAAGTTTCTCAAAATGTACATTAGTGTGGGAATTGGGAATCGGATAGAAGGAGACTGACTCTTCCCATCACATCCAAATTCGGGTGCACATTTAGAAATACCCCATGAGGCAGGCCAAGATTAACTGGCCGAAGAACTAGGGATATGCTTTTGTCAAGATTGTAAGGTACAAATCACCAACCGGGACTTCTACAGCTACAGCGCAGGCCACCTGTCCTCATGTTTCCTTACTACGACCCCCAACCCAAAGCCATCTGCTTATTGAGATCCAATATTTAGAAGTCAAGATTCTGCTGACTGAGGAGAAAGCATGCATCTCTAGCCAAGACCTTAGCTCTAGGAACAGCTACATCAGCTTTTCCCCAACTTGGCCCCAAAAGGTGTGGAGAACCCTTAAAACAATGCAGTTACAAATGCATACGAAAGGACAACAGAAATAAGAGTATTTCTTGTTCTCGTTTATGTCAGTCTTCTCTTTCACAAAACCGTTTATAATGAAGCGAAGTCCTGCCTAGGGGCCAGGGGCAGAAACCCATACGGTGCAGTGAACCAGTAACCCGCAGCCCTGTTTGCTGTAGCAGGCACAGGAAGGTGACAGCTCACGGTCATGGTGACTGCATCGT